ATATATATATATATATATATATATATATAAGTGGTGTATCCAATAGTGTTCTGGAAAATACGTTCTGGAAAAATAAAATATAAAAAGTTATAACAAGATTCGTCGATTAGAATATACAAATTTATAAATTTGTTTATTTTTTGCTTGTGTTTGCAAACATAGGGTGAGGTCCAATCGAACACATTGTCGATTGGCCGATTAAATAATAAATAATAAAATTTTTGATAGGTGGCTTATTAGAAAATTCCTAGGCTGATGTGAGTGGTGTGTCCGATTGAAAATGTGCGCATCTGGGACGCTCCCCAAACATACGTTCTGTGTACAATCTATTGTTGGATCAGCGAAATAATCTGAAAAAGAATTTATATTAATATAGCTTTTTTTTCCCAATAAGAAGGGAGGGTGTGCATCACGACGGGGCCCGACCACGAACCAGTCGTGAAAACTCGTAATTATTTTTGCCAAAAATACCACCTCAGCCAGGAATCGAACCTGGATCTCCTGCTTACCGGGCAGGCATCTTATCCTTTCGACTACCGAGGCATGTGATGATATTTATCGCAATAACGTGTTTAGAACAACAAGTCAATAAACAATGGCATACACACACATATACATATATTACATATACATATATATATGTATATTTTCTCGAATCCCCACGACCGGTACTCCAGAGAGATGATGGTCCTATTCTTTCGATGGATGCAAGTCGGACTGCAGCGGCGACACCCTCCAACGCCATTGGCAAATGTACAAATAATCCTTCTGGAGCACGACAGGAGAGATTGCATTAAGCATGGCTCGAGCCCCCGAATAAGAAGGGAGGGTGTGCGTCACGACTCTGCTTAAAAAAATAGTAATTTCTTTCGTCTCGAAGAATAAAGAATAAAAAATGCAAATTTACATTGAGATTATATTATCAGAAAGGCTTGAAAATTTAAATACAAATTGATAGTAATATTAATATATAATAAATATGATAAATTAGGTCAATTTGTTGTATCTCTTATTTATTAAATTAATTAATTATTGCGTTGATTATTGATTGATTATTTAAATATGTGACTATGAATGACTATTATCTACAAAAATAAAGTATAAAGTATATTTATAAAAGTTGCCGAAACTTTTGTGTTGATCGGAACTTTTGTAGTCGAGATCATGCTAGTGTCATAGCGTTTTCTGATTGATTACGTCAACTTTCCCCCCATTTTTCCCCTGTTGCAGGAAATCATGATACAAACTTCACTCTCGTGTAGTTCATGCACACATGAAAACAATTCTCCTACCATATCGCGCAGCGCATGAAAACGCAGGGGCTGCCTCAGCTCTCGAGGTGCAATCCATGCGTAATTCATGCGCTTAGTTTATTTAGGCAGGAAAAATGTCTTTGAAAAAAATTACAAATTTATGTTGATAATGATTTATGGATGTTCGACATAACTGAATGTCGAATTTCAAGCGGCAATAACTGACAGTAAGTGCTAATATCGTAAAAAGTTATATGAAGGAGATTTTATAGCAATATTGAATTCCAATAGAAATATTGAGTATATTATCAATCGACAATTCGTCCGCCATGTTTATTTACAATACTCAGTGCGCTATAAGTTCGTTCCGTTTTTCTATGCGCAGAAAAAAAGGGAATGAACCAATGCGCTCATGTAATACGCTATCATCTCATGCGGTTCATGCGTGTAACGGAACGTAGTTCATAGTTCATAGTTCCATGGGCTCAATTATAGATGTGGTGGCGATAGTATACGGCGATTTTACAGTGTCACGAAAAAGGCCAGAATAGCCGCTCCAAATTTCTCTCTGACATTAGTTTCATCATCTGACATAGTTTCAAGTAACGTGGGAAATTATTTGCTATTATCCATTGTAATTTAAACTGATCGAATTTATTATGTAAGTACAAAAATATTTATGACAAGATATTGTTTATATTAATTTTATAATGAAATAATGTTTAATACTATTTTTATTTAGCATTGATGATTATTTAGCAATTGAGGGTTATGTTGACGAGTACAACATATGAAAATAATACATATTGAAACGTGAATACTAAGAAATTGAGTTTTCATATTTGATTTTTATATGATAAAATTTATATTATTGTTATGCAAAGTTACAAAATGAATAAAGCTAAGAAAAATAGTTTAGCTGAACCTATGCAACAAAAAAACAAGAAACAGTTAAATCCATTTGAAATACATATTAATAGAAATAAGCAGAAAGTATTAGGTCAGAAGAGTAAGAATGATTGTGGACTTCCAGGAGTTTCAAGAGCAAAAGCTATTAATAAACGTAAAAAGAGTCTTCTTCAAGAATATAAATTACAAAATAAAGATAATATTTTCTTAGACAAACGTATAGGTGAAAAAAATTATGCCATGAGTACAGAAGAAAAAACATTAGCTAGATTTGCTACAGAACGTATAAAAGCTTATAAAAAGAAGAGTATTTTTAATTTGAATGATGAAATATTGACACATAGAGGACAAACTCTAGAAGAAATTGAGAAATTTGATGATCCTAGAAGTGATGATGAATTTAGTGATAATGAGGATGTTAGTGGCAAGTTAGATAAAAATTTTATAGAAAAAGCTCATTTTGGTGGAGGCATTTTGTCAAGAACAGATTTTACATTAACCAGGAAAGATTTAATTGATCAACTCATTGCAGAATCAAAAAAAAGGAAGGCAGAGAAACAAAAAATACGCGAACAAACAATAGATCTCACAGAGAAACTTGATTCCGAATGGAGAGATCTTTTACCTATTATGTCTGCTTCCAAAATGTCAATAGAAGATATTGAAACAATGAAAACTGATACATATGATATTGCTGTACAACAATTAAAATTTGAAGCCAGAGGTAATCCATCTGAGAAATTGAAGTCAGAGGAAAAAATTATTCAAGAAGAAAAAGAAAAGTTGGAAAGACTCGAAGCTAACAGATTGATAAGAATGAAAGGATTTATATGTGATATTAGTAATCAATATAAACATAAATCTGCAGATGATCTTGAGGATGGTTTTATGATGGAAATTATTAAAGATAATGATGCTCCTGGTTTAATTGATAATATTAATGATAATGATCAAGTTGAGAATAATAAACAAGAGAAAAATAAATTAGGAAATTCTGTTATAAAAAAAATAATTGAAAATGAACAAACAGGAAAAAAAGATAGTAAAAATAAGAAAAAAATATATTCAGAATTATCTGATGCTGAAAATAAATCTAATTCAGATAATAAAGATTCAGAAATTGAGAATTCAAATCATGAAGAATCTAAAGATAATTTCTCAGATTTAAAAATATTTGGATCATCTATTGAAGATGAAAGTAAAGTGTATATTGAAAGAGAAAACGAAAAATATGGTACATTCAATAATGTGACTAATATTAAACATACAAGTCAATCAGATAAGATTCGTAAATTAATATTGAAACAAAATGATAATATACAAAATTCATCTGACCAGGGTAAACAGCAGATTAGACATGATTTCCTGAATCAAAAAGAACATACGAAAATGATACAAAAAGCATTACCCTGTATATATAATGCTCCAGAAAGTTTCCAAGAATTAAAAAAATTATTAGAACCTTATAGTGTAGATTATCAATCGATGATTGTAGATCGTATTATAAAATGCAATCATTGGACATCAGATAGCAAAAACAAAGAAAAATTATCAAATTTATTTTTATATTTGCTACAATATATAAATAATTGTGCTACCACGGAGAATGCTAATGATTTAATCAAATGCTTCCAAATCTTTGATAGGTATAAGAAATTTATGTTTTACTAATTATATAATGTTATATATATTACAATTTGTGTATGTGTGTGTGCGCGCGTGCATGCGTGCGTGCATGCATGCGTGATAGTATATTATTTATATATTTTTTTCTTTTTTTTAGATTATGTCCATACCTTTATGATCTAGCACATATGAACCCAACAAATGCTAAAACTTGTTTACAAGAAGTTATCAAGGAAAAATATTATAAATTTGAAAAAAACAAGACAGAATATCCTGGTGTGGACACGGTAAGATTCTGCAATATGTTTTCAATTAATTGTATTATATTTCTTTTATTGGAAAATATATATTTGTATATGTAGACAGATAAAAGTAAAATTAAGATAAAAGACAGATAAAAGAAAATTAATAATTGAAAGGTATATACAAATTACATATTTCTAAATGCAAACAAATTTAAAATTAACAGCTTATGATATAATTTTAGATTAATATACTATAATTCTAAATTTAGGAATATTTGTATAGTTAAATAACAGCATAATTAAAAGAAGAAAAGAAAGAAATATTGAATATATATTATTTTACTGATTATGATCATTTATATTCAAGAAAATTAAGTAGTTAAAAGGATAAATACATTATACAAATAAGCTCCTTTATATATTTTACAACTGAGATATGCATATGTACACTATATAATGTGATTTATAAATTCTTTTTCAGCTTATATTTTTTAAATTAATATCCTTGTTGTTTCCAACATCTGACTTCAGGCATCCTGTTGTTACTCCTTGTTTAATATTTATGTCACAAATAATAATGAAAGCTCATATCAAGAAATATCGGAGTGATATTTCAAAAGGTCTTTTTATATGTACTCTTATTTTGGAAGTGAGTATAATTTGTTTAGATTTGGTTATAAAATAAAAAATACATATTTTAACTTTTTTTCATTTGCAGTATACATTATTAAGCAAGCGATTTGCACCATCTGTAATTAATTTTTTACATGGCATTATTTATATAGCAACACCTGCAAATTTAACACAAAACGTGAAAGTCATTCCACCATTCAAAGCTGTGTGTAAAGTTTTAATAATGAACAAAATTAATAGCTACAATACAATTAAGCCAAACGGTGCACATATGTTTATAACTGATTTAATTCATGAAGAATTAGATGATGAATTTAAAGTAAAAGCTTTATTGACCGCAGTGAATCTACTTACTGAATTTAAAAACCAGTTTCAAGAATTAGAAGCAATATATTCAATATTTGAGCACATTCTTCAACTATTAAAAATAAACAAATTCAAACAATATTCATTAAATGTAAAAAATCATATAAAAGAATTGTATAAGGAACTTGAACTTTTACAAACTAAGAAATTGGAGTACATGGTGCTTGAGAAGAAAAGACCGAAACCTTTAAGGACATATGAGCCAAAAATAATAACAGTGTAATTATCATATATATTACTATTTAATTTGTAATTTTATAAAAAATATTAAATTTTAATTATAATATCTTTTATTCTTTATTTATAATTTGTATACTTGAATGTTCTATGTAATACATACATGAAAAAGAGGAAGAATACATGTTTGTATAATTAATCAAAACTATCAAAATTATTCAAAACAATTTTTACAATATTTTAAATATTTTCTTACAGATATGATGGAAAGCAACATAAATCAATGTTGAAGGAAAAAGCAGAAAGAGAAAAATTGTTGCATAAGTATAAGAGGGAATTTAAGGGCGCAGTTCGTGAAATAAAAAGAGATCGTGACTTTTTAGTCAAAGTACAAATTGCAAAACAGATTAAGAATGATGCTGAACGCAAACGTAAAGTAAACGAAATTTTCAGAGAGGCAGCAATACAGCAAAATGAATTTAAAAAAATTAAGAAGAAATAAAAAATGAGTACAAATATGATACAAAATTTGATATGCTAATAGTTTTACTTCTTATATTTACCATTTTTAATAAGAAATTCTTTGATCATTCTGAGTATAAATTTTTTTAGGAAAAATGTATCAATTTTTTTAAATTATATTTTTCAAAATATATATTTTTCTTATTATATTTTTATAATACAGATTTATATAATACATACAATTTGTTTTATTATCTTCATAAAATGGTATTAATAAAACATCCCCGGATAAATTTAGAAATTTTAAAAAATTATAAAATTAACAATATATGATAAATATTGATGATGTATATAAATCATAACGATATAAATAATTTTTGTTGGCTGCTCAGATTCATTCTGAAGAGATAACATTAATTCCCAAAAATTGATTTATTTTTCACTGTTGGTTTTTTCAGCCACAAAATAATGAAATTTGAAGCATTAGTATGAAAAGACACTTTTAGACATCGTAAAGATATTTTAAAAGAGACGTCTTTAAAGACTTTATCCAAAAAAATATTTTTAAGACTATACTAAAAGATATTCTAAAAACTTTATTTAAAGGTATCCTAATCTTAGGTATCTTGTCTCAAAGTTGCTAAAATACATCTGCCCTTGACTATATAAGTATGGACTGCCAATAGGCTGCATATCCTATAGCACTATAGAACGAAAAGTGTTGCCAAGTACAACGGATTTTGGTTAATCAGAATCCGCGCGAAATTCAAATCAGCTATGTTTACCAAGTTGTATTTTTATCAAATATTATTTTATATTATGTCTCCATTTTTAATTTATAATTAAATAAATCGAGATAAATTTGTTTCTTTTCATATTAAGTTAATTTAAGTTAATTTCTGACTTACTTAAAGAAGGTTATGGATTTACCCACTGGGTGCTCTTTATTTATGTAACGTGTATTACTACAATTCTTTACAAAATAAGTCGGTATAATACTAATTTTTAATAAAGATGCACGAGAAACAGGAAAAGCACGTCGTTTTCTAAGTGTGCACAGACTATACCTAATATTTAGTTCTTGGTTAGGGTTAACTAAAATTATTTTGTTTAGAGGATTTCGTTGGTACCAACATTATCCCCTCCATTTTTCAGGAAATTGTCGTCCAACCTTGGTTAGTGTCGCCTCTTTTTGACAACAAGTGTGAAGTTAGTCACTGGCAGTCCATATTTATATAGTCAAAGTCTTTGAGTGGCTAATTTCAAAAAGAGGCGATATCACTAACCAAGAACTAAATATTAGGTATAGTCTATAAACACGTGGAAAAGAACGTGTATCTCGTTCTTCTGCTTCTTGTGTATTTCTTTATGTTTTTATATTTTGTGTGCTTTTTTATTAAAAATCAATAATATCATGCCAACTTATTGTTTAAAAAACTGTAATAGTACTATATAAACAAAGAGCAAGAAATGGGTAAACCCATAATCTTCTTTAGGTAGGTAGGTCAGAAATTAACTTAGAAATTTAGTTCTATTAGTTAATATTAAATAATAATATAATATCTATAAATAATTACAAGAATGAATAAGCTTTATTAAAAATTTAGTTTATATAAGCATATTATTATTTATATATATATATACAGGTTGTCTGGCATCAGTCATATTATCTCTCGTAGAGCTGGTAGAGTTGGTAAAACTGAACAAGGGGAACACCAGGT